TGTGGATGGGAGAGTTGGAAGGGGTCGACCTCAGCGAACATACCTCAATCAGACTGAGGACATTTTTAGCAAAGGCCAGTTTAGGAGTACCCTAATTAAGTTAATAACGATGTACCTACCTATATAGTTTAAGTTTTAAAAATTTGGCTCTCAAAATAAATTTCAATCGTTGTACTGTTGATATTTGGCTCTCTTGACTAATGAGTTTGCCCACCACTGGTACAAGATGTTTTATCAATGGTATTTCACCCCAAAATATATTGCTAAGATGAACAAGAATTACAAAGGGGTTTGCTGAAATGTAAAAAAGAAGATGGCACCTTTTATCATATGTGGAGGACCTGCATCAAGACGAAAAGATACTGGGAAAATATACATGAAAAAATTCAAGGTATTTTAAAAACTAAATTCCCGATGAAACCAAAGACTGGGAATCCTTCCAGATAATATAGACAGAACCTCACAAGACCTACTTTGATATATGTTGACAGCTGCCAGAATAATATTTGCAATTAAATGGAAGACAGAAGACTGTCCTACAATAGAGATCTGGGAGGGAAAAACTAGCTATGTAACATTGGCAAAATTAACGAATTATATAAACAAAAGACCACTGAATGAATTTCAGCAGAAATGGCAAACTTATTATTCATACTATGGAAATAATTAACTTTTTTCTTTTTAGTTCTGGAGTTATTTGAGTATCACATGAAATATGATGAAAATATTGATTATAATTTCAATACTCTATTAGTGCTTAAATAATCAGTAAGAATAAAATTCAGATTTAGATAAACAAGACAATATTTATGGTTTTAGTATAGAAGTCCATTCAACTGTTAAAGATGTATTCCTTTTTATCGTTAATATATCATCACTAATTTTAGGAGAGTTTTGGTTTATTCCTTAAAGAGAGAATCTAACCTAAAATTCTTCAATATTGATAACTTTATTGTTTCTATATTTCAATTATGTAATACATTTGGTAATATATCTGATTTTACTTGTTGTACGTAACAATTCATAATATCTAGCAAATGTGATGAATCTATATTTTCCCCCTCCCCTTTTTCCCTTCTGTGTCCCACCTTTTTTTTCCCTTGAGAAAATAATAAGAAATAATTTTTTAAAACCCTCATGTTATGACTCCTTGGCTCCATCTGCGGTGCCGTTCTCTATAACACTGAGTGGGGTGGCAGCACTGGTGCCCTGGACCCGAAGGTGCCAATGGAAGCAGTGAACCAGGTGACATAACGACATGTTCCAAAGGAACATCACTTTGAGAGACTAGATCATATACTAATGGAGACCATTCTGGAGAGTGGCTACTAAGAGAAGGGGTGTGCAGGGTAGTATGTCTGTTAGCCTCAATAATGGCCTTCGGAACTGGTTCTTCAGTTCCTTCAAAGCTGCCCCTTGGATTCTGAGTGAGTCGGATCCATCGTTACCGACTGATTACTTTTTTGTTTAACCTTCAATCTGTGTTTCTTAGGTGGTGGTTCCGATGAGGACCTGGCTAGAGCCCATTCTGGTATCCCAGAACATCTACTATTTGGATCCGATCTTGGAACCGACTAGACCAGGGGTGGCCAAACTTGCTTAACATAACAGCCACACAGAATAAATGTCAGATGTTTGAGAGTTGCAAGACATGAACAAATATTACACTCCTGTTTTTACTGAAAAATATGCAAATTTGCTGTTCTACCAGGGCAGATATTTTAGCTGCTGGGTTAACAGAGGCAGATACAGCTTTCTTCTATAAGGCGGCTTTAAGGCAAGAGACACAATCTGCATGGGCCTTCGAGGTAAATTGTTGACAGATCGTACATGCCACTACATTGTCGTTTTCCCCAAGGTTCAAAATACGGGGTGCTCGTCCGTCTGAGTCATCTTTATTGAGCAAGAGGAAACTTTTTAAAAAAATAATGACATTCTTCTTTTTGATGAACAAACTAGGAGCTCACTAGGAATGTTCTTCTCAAGGCGGTGGCAAAGAGAGAACTGAGGGAAGGAGGGTGGCCCTTCCCCAGAGCACGTGACAGGCAGGAAAATGGCTCCAATTGGGATGGGCCCCTCCTGCTCTGTTACTAACTAGGCTAGCTAGAAATCTTCTGGTGGTTGTACTGCGTGCGTGCGCAGTCCCCACATGGGACTGCACAGAACAACGATGATGAACCATCAGGAAGGTGAATGAATATGGGGGAAGGATAGAGTGAGCAAATGAACGGGAGATTTACTCTGTCTGGCCTGCCCAAAGAAGAGGAGCCGAGATAGGCAGAGAATGGGATCTCAACCCCAATCTGTGAACTCCCAATTTGTATTACCCTATATTTTCTATGTAACCGAACTGACTAGCTAGTTTCTCCTTCTTTCTGTTTTTGCTGTTCCTAAATACCTCCTCCCCCAAGTGGATAAGTAAGCCAGAACGTGAATTAAAACAAAAAAGGGCTTATGGGCAGCATCTCATTTTGCAGCATGCATCT